GCCAAATTTTTGAGGGACGCTCGCCAAATTCTAACACATCTACCCTTGAGAAAGCGCTGCAGAGAGGTCCATGGCCGACGTCTGGACAAGTGTAATATCACCGCAACCACCAAAGCCGCCACCACCTTCCGCCATGGAAGAACTCAAGGCCATGAGCAATCTTCCTGAGCTGGATGACATGTTAACCGACGCAATCCGGATCCTCGGTGTTCCCTCTACATGGCTAGAGCGCGATTATTTCTTGGAGCCGGAACTGTTTGCGGATGTTAAACTCCAGTTCAACACGGAATATATTCTCAGGTTTCTTATCAGCAAAATGTTTCACGAGAAGGACGGCAAAGCTGCGCGCCACAACGTCACGGCGTGGAAGCTCATCAAGTGGTGTATCATTTCCACTCCGCTAATAAACGCTGCGAAGACTCTTCGAATCAAGAACTTCATGAGCGTTGTAGAGACCACGTTGATGGAAATTTGCTCCGCACGCCTACAAATCTCCCATCCAGTTGTGAATGGCAACAACGAAGAGTCAAGGAAGCGGAAGTATTCTCCAGATGGCCCGACACAGGATTTTCGCTTGCCAGCAGAATCTGCGATGGTGTTTTTAGCACTCTCCATGACACTCGAGACAGCACTAGCAGGAGCGACTACTGATTCGGCCAACGTCTCTTCCACTTTTGCGATGCAAACTATGCGCTCTGGCCTACGGACTTCCGGACAGAGAGCCGCAAGAATTTTGGGCTACGCTCTTGATATCATCGAATCCATATTGCTTTTTCAATGGGATTTCTTCGATCAGTGTGGAATGCGCGTCTTGGAACCATCACTGGCAATCTGGGAAATGCGGCACGCGGAAGCGGACAACACGACGTCGCAACTATCTTTCGCTCAGTTCGCTCGTCACTGCCTCGCACCAGCGACTAAAATTATGGCCATTTTGTACAGAGATGTTGGGGTCCCTCAACCATCTTGGTGTATATCGAACATTCCAGAGCGAGCAATTGTTGAGAAGCTTGAGGAGCTCATTGGTCGCCACTTCTTCCTTCCACTCCGTATAAAATTCTTCGACGAGACAGCTCGTGATGCCGTCCTCGTGAGCCTTAAAAGCGCCCTTATCGACTTAAAGGAACGCATATACTCCGGATCGGTTAGCTGCCTAGCCCTTGCATGCCTATTCAGCTTAGCAATTCGCGCGACATCACGGCCTACGAAAGTTGAAGAAATCCGGGAAGCGCCGTGGGTGGAGATGGTCTTCACGGCGCTTGCTGAGATTGCAGGATACCCCCCGGAAGCGCAATATATCGAGGATAGCGAACCTGATATTATGAGCCTACAAATTATGCTAGAAACTTTGAGGATGCGGAACGTGAGGTTAGGAACACCTTCATACAGGAGAGTATTGCTGCAGTCTCTAAACCAATCCCACTACACTGGGATCGTCGGCGAGATATTGACGCAGGATCCGGACGTGGTCGTCGATCCTGAGCTCGCACAGCGGATCTTGAAGCGCTTGGCTGAACCATTGGATTCCGGACACTTATCGTGCTCACCAAAACGACTCCGACAGTCCAAAAGGTCCTCGTATTCCAACATTCTGGACGACGTTGCCATACCCCTTCTCAAAGCCTGTGGCCGGAACCGGAAAATTAAACAATTCGTGGAAGAATGGAGTGCCCTCATCACCACGTCACCTCCTTTGAGAGACCATGAGCTTATTCGAAACTTCGGGGATGTTCTCCCAGTATCATGCTCGACAAAGTTGGTCGAGGAAATGTTCGAGGAATACTCCAGAGATTTAGGGCGCTACAGCGCAATCTTGAAGGAAACTGTTGACGAAGTCACTGGCAAACCCCCGAGCGCCCCGAAGCACCTTCCTGGCCATATATTTATCCTACAGGCACTAGTTTCGGCGTTTCTTCCTCCACAGACGACGGTAAAAGTGGCTATGGTCGATAAGATCAAGGAGAGGCTTTTCGATGTGTACCAGAATTCTTTGCAGGCACTTGGCACTCCCGACGTCAGTGTGCAGGATTGGGACGAGCAAAGAGACACGTCTCTTTCCCTAACGGGTCTCCTCGCCCGTCTTGCCCGTAGCATTGTTCCCGTGCTCCCACCGGCTGCAGAGTCACTCCACAGCCCGACGAACATCTTCCAAGCCTTCATAAACTCGCGCGCGCTATCCTTCGTCCTTGAAGAGGCGAAGAAAACTGAAAGTGATACTGCAAACTTCGCTGCGTTGGATCTGTCATTTGCAGTCTGTATGTTAGCCTGGAATTTCGGAGGCGATGATACGAGATCGGAGGCAGAGAGCGTGTTTGGGAAAGTGGTTGGAAAGTGCAAATTTTCTGGAGCGGTGGTTAATATGATATGCCGGTACCCCGAACTTGTACTGTGAGTATCTAGCCCTTCTAATATATGCTGGCTGTATTACTGATTTATGAGTAGGACATCACCTACAGAGATACAAAGGGCGCTAGGCCGCAGACTACAAAATGGACTTTCAGGACTTGCGATGAGCGAATTCACTCCACCAACTCCTTCTATATCTCCTTTCCAGCTATTTGCTCCTTCGTCGACGCCTGAGAACATCGACGTTTCTCCAGAATTCCTTCTTGCCGTACCGCTGCAGGCCGTAGCGCCGCAACATCAGACGGCGATACTCGATTCTTACGCCACTTACCTGACGAAATGTTCATCTGACGACGAGAAGCTCGGCATAAAAATTAGCGTTATGATCCGTTTTTTGTCCAACCCGAAACGCAACGCAAGCATTACGACCGATCCAAGTTGGATTTTCAACATCGCACACCATTTTGGAGCGATGGTATCACCTACGGATGATGACAAACTCCGTATTGACAAGCTCACTTGCACCATCTTTGACAATGGGATTATTGAAAACCGAGGCCAACTTGATGGTGACGAAAAGCAGACACTCATCGCAACTGAGTTCATTGGAAGAGCGCGTGAAATGGCTAAGGAATATCTAAACAAGCACCAATGGTCTCTTCGCCCCAACGTAATCCTCACGAAATTCTACATGCGCGTTTTCAGAGCGCTGTTCAGTGAGGGTTATGAAGGAGAGATGTGGGTTCCTTGGGCTCAAATGCTATCATACTTCATCCAGATGGAGAGTCAGGCTGAAGAGATACCGAAATTTCGAAAGTGGCTTGTCGCGGTCCTTGGAGCTCTCGCCGATATTCCGCCTCATGTCTCGCTGCCGGGTTTAGACAACATGGTGAAGACACTGACCAAGCAAGTCCAGCTAAATAGTCTCGACGCCGGTGATGAACTAGCTGCAAAAGACGCGGCTATTGCGATATACAAGCTCCATGCCAGGGCGGTCATGCCGGAGACTGCAAAAGCCTTTGTCAAACTTTCGTCTAGCTTCCTAGCAAGCGGAAATTTCGGCCTAGATCAGATTAGCATGGGCCCAATTTTTCAGGAAACTATTGAGAGGCTGCCGTTCAGGTCGCAGGTTGAGGTCTTACATCTGTTAGCCGAAGAAGTGGAAGCAGAAGATATGAGTCTCTGCAACCTTGTGCTGAAGGTCGTGCTTCCGAAATTAGAGGGGATTCACAAAATGGACAAGGAAGAGACGGACGAGACAGTCAGGGCTGAAAAACTGTCAGCTCGCGATGCCATTTGCGTGGCTTTCCGCCAGAAGACCGAGTTGCTTGGGCGGAATGGAGACATCCGGGTTTTCAACTACGGTCTCGACTTCATCGACACCCTCATTCAGACCGCTAAGTCGGCCCAGATCGACTTCCTAGTATCCCAGACTGGCATAGATGAGCTTGCCGCCAGCCTGACGTGCTTGACGAGAGCGCAGGCTCCAAATGATGCTGCCGCTCTTCGTTGGGTGGCAATGCAGCACGCCGACTCCCCGGCCACATACAATAAGGATATTGCCGGCGAGATCTATTTCCGCGTCTGTACCACTGCCAGCAATATCATTCGTCGCTACCGTAAGCGCGGCCGCGGTCGGCTACAAACCCTCGAGCCTTTGCTGAAGAATCTTATCAAGCTGCTCTTCACGCCGGGAAACCCATCTCGCGCCGACACCGCCCTCGCACGCGAGTACCCGCGCTGGCTTGGAGACCCGAAGTGCTCACCCCTTGGAGTGGAACACGCCGCCGCCTGCTCTTCCCTTCTTAGCACGATGTGGAGCCCCCAGCCGTCTGCATCCGGCGGCCATCCTCGCCCTCACCAGGGTAACACAGATAATGATTATGACGCAGAGTCCGCGCCAGGGAATCTAACGGACCCTACAGTACTTGAGCGCAAGCGCGCTATTGAGCCGGCAATTGGAGTCCTCACACAGGTCGCGCAGTGCCAGCAGCGTGGAGGCGTACTTGTGGGTACGATCCGATCCGTTCTTCTGCCGACGCTCAAAGAGGCGGCAGAGCTTCTGGGCGATATTGAAGTGACAATGCTAGGTGTGAAATTGGATTCTGGAGTGAGAGAGTTGGTGAGGGGCTTGTTGGACGAAACTGGCACTAGGCACAGGAAGAAGGATTGAGGGAATATGGAAGAGCGAGTTGCATTAAGAAGGCGATTGGAGAGTACTGATGTTGTTCGGAGACAAGTGAGCTCGTGGAACAGTTGCGGTTCCTTGCATTGGCAGAGGTGTATTTAGAAAGTTTCAGAGTGGAAATTAATCGATAAATAAAGTGTTGGTGTCCAGCCTTCCTTACTGATGGCAAAAGACATTAGAGGACGCTTTCTCTTAGACAAATAACCACATGAATGCAATTCAATTGATAGTGGTGGGCGCTCGGTTTTCTCTGGTTCGACTAATAATTGATATGACTTTGGCCAAAATCGGCGGTCTGGCTTGGTAAATCGGGCACGTGCACGTGAATATACTAAGTCTCCAGACTATGTATAAGTCGAACAGCGTTTTCAAGCTGCGTAATCCGAACAAAATGTTCTCCGAAGCATTCAAGAGGTAAAACATACATTTCAATAGTCAGAAAAGTCAAAAAGTTAATGATTGTGAAGGGCCTAGCCGGGACTCGAACCCGGGACCTCTCGCAGACAGCAAATTGCAACTCAGGGTTTACCCTAAGCGAGAATCATACCACTAGACCACCAGGCCAACCCAAAATGTGGTAGAAATTTTGCTCTTTTTGAATATAGTAACTAGCAATATTCACGCAAAAAAACCAGCAACCTTCCATGTTGAGTGTGCTTGCACCGTATTTTTCTTTAACGATGGTTCATGATATTATTTATTCTTGTTTTTTCCCTACCAGATGCAATTATCATTAAATCACTATACAGCTATAAAGCCTTCACAGGCTACATATCCTGAATCCACAATTTCATTCACTGTGGGAAACCAGAAGTTTAGAACCATTACTATTGCCGTGGCTGGGCCCGATCGCCGGGCTCGTCTCGGGCCAGACCAGGAGTTTCACGAATGAGCCAATAGGCATTTTGCCAGAGTACACTAATTAATATCGAACCCTGAACTTCGCAGCAACGCCTCTATATCGATGTGACGGGCCTGCACAGCGATCAGTGTGGCTCTGTTGCGGGCGCGCATCTACACGTGGCCTGATGGCTCTCTCAAGATGGATCCGTTACATAACTGGGCTTCCGCGACCATGTTTGATCAAATTATTGTCTACCTTTGAGCTTCCCTGGCGAGTTTCCCTGTCTAATTTTTAGTTCGGATCAATGCACATCGAGTATCTAGGGGCCTTGGTGGCAGTATGGTTGTCGTTGGCGAGCAGGGCTGGGGCGTACGCGCAGGGCCCGCAGCCACATTGGAGCTTTGGCGGTGTCAATCACCAGAATCTACCTCTCCTTGAACCTGACGAGCGTGACAGAGTCATTACTGAGCTTGTGCGGGCAAATGCAAGCGCAATTCGAATATTCAGTACAGCCTTCTTTCCTCACCTCCGATTGAATTCGAAATCTACTAACTTCTCCTGCAGTAAGAGCAGACGAGACACATCCTGATGTCTGGGGTCCCCCCCGCTACAGTCACACGTGATGTTTTCTGACTATTAGTAGATTGAGAGAACGTTGGGCGAAGTTGATTACTCCGTTCTCGATCTTTACGACGATACGCTGGCAGCTATTTATAGGATCGGCGAGGGTAAGTGGTCCAAATCGATTAGGAGTCAGCACATCGGCAAACTGATATCTGTACAGGCCAGACGAAAGTCATCATTGCCCCACATGATGTGCACGCTCTTCGAGGAGACAATGGCAAACTATGTGATGCCTACTGTGAATCTGTGGGAAAGTCTTGGTTGAGCTTTTACAGCAAGGAAAATTGTTCGTCTAGACATTGTCTAGGGGTAAATTAAATGCACTAACTTGTGTAGATCGCGATCACTACAGAAACCGGCTAACCAAAGTTTTTGCCGAATACCCATCCAAAAACTTCGACGGTGCAACATGGAACACATTAAACCAGATTATTCTGGTGGGCAGCCCCAACTTCTACTTTGGCGAACTCAAAAAGTCAGGGACTAACATACGAAAAGGGCGTTGACATTCAGAACGAACCATTTGGGGGTGTCTATCCCATCCCAATTGCAGAACCCTGGATTTGTAAGACTGCTAAGTTCATGAAGAATGACATTAGGCTCGGCGAAAACAACATTGCAGTCATCACGGGTGGCATTTCCGGTTCGAATGAGGCAATGACATCCCGAAACTTCCCAAATTCAGTGTGGGCATGCGACGAGATCGATGTGATTGGAATCCATGGGTAGGACAATTACACACCCAGCACCTAGTCCCGTTGGTCAATCTAACACGCAAAAGCTATTATTCCGACTCTGACCAGTCCATGGCCGGGACAAACTGGGTGAGTAACATTGGCCTTGCATATCCTCTTCCGTCTAATAGAAAATAGGCCGATTTGTTCGTTCGCGGCGGCACTCTGGCATCAAAGGCGCTAGGTAGCGGGAAACTGCTCTTAGCAGAAGAGTTCACCTTTGTTCCTTATGAGGATAATTTAGAGCAGAAGGCAGCAAATATCTTTGACCAAGGCCAAGCTCTCAACTGTCGTGGTATTCCATGGGTTAGTATAGCCATCCCACACCATATACGATGTATTTAGCGTGCTAACTATCCAAAGGTCTACTCTAGCCTAACCCAAGGCCCAACAAACGGCATTGGAGACCTCAACGTTGACGGCGACGAGCATTCTCCAACCGAAGCACTGCGGTCGATTCTGAAGCAGGCGTCAACTTCGCTAAGTGACTTCGACTGGAGCAGCTATGCGCCCAAGCCTAGCTCTACGGACCCTCACTTCCAGCTTGCTGAAAATCCATTCTTCCCAGAACAGGGTGACTGCGTTGGAGGCTGCCCTGGCTGGCTCTGCGATGTTACGGATGATTGTGGGTCTGGCCTCGTCTGCAGAAATAACGTCTGCGAAGTCTGCGAAGTCGGCTGCTCCAGCATGTCCTGCAACCCCAGCTCTCCATGCCAGCCTGGTTTGGTTTGCATAAAGGGCGTTTGTAAAGAGCCTGCTGAGGAGGCCGACCTGCCCTGTGGCCATGGTACCTGCTTCGATGCTAAGTGCACAAACGACCTATTCGGCCTCGCCGCGCAGTGCCCTTACTGTGACAAGCGCCATTTCCAGTGCCCGTCTAGCCCGTGCGTGAACGCCGGAGACTGCGATACCGACGAGCAATGCGAGTGGTACCGTTGCAAACCGTGCACTAGCGGCTGCGCGGGAGACCAGTGCAGCGCCTCACGACAGTGCAGCACCGGGCACTGCAACGAGTACGGGTATTGTGACTACGCGCAGGGCACGATCCGGGCGCCGCTCCAGCCGCCGAGGAAGGGTTTGACGAATGTGCCGCGCAAGGGTTCGGTGTGGAGAGGGAAGGGCAAGGAGAAAGGGCCAAGTAAGGTGAAGGATAAGGCGAAGTTCAAAGTGCAGGAGCCGGGGCCGATGGCGACATGAGATGGATTGTTGCTATTTCTTTCGCCCTAGAATGAAGCAGTAGTGAGCAAGGATCGAATTGATACGGCTTGATTGTAAATGCAACAATTGCATGTTTGGTAGAATATTAGGAAGGCTCATTCAGACTAGGCAACCATTTTGGCGGTTAGCAAACACTTCCAAATTAGGAAATCTACTTGTAAAATTGAACGTCGGCGGAGTTTGAGGGCACCTCCGAAGGCACCTCTGCAGACATAATTGCTAGAGATGATCTGATAAGTCATTATTCCGTCCAGACGGGCTCCGTAGCTTCTCGCCCTCATTGCAGGCCACCTATTCTTCATTGTTGGAAGCTCTTAGCGAAGTAAATACCACGTTATCGTTACAAGAAGCTTTTCATTTCGAGCATATAGCCCATATCCTTTCAGATTGTCATACCGTATTTGCCTCGCGGCAATATGATACAGACCCCAAACCTAAACTCCAGTTCACAGCAAAACATCAGCACGATATAACTCCCCGCCTGTTCTATCCAGCGACGAGTGACTAGCCAGCTATCTTCCTGCTTTCTCCAGCATATCCTCCCTCTCCACCACTTCCTCCTTAAACCTAATTAGAAATATCGTCCTTCCCGGCCACATATTCTCTGCGGCCGCGCCACCCTCTCCGCCTCCGCCCGTACCCTCCGCCTGACCCCCTGCCCAATGCGCCGTAACTTCCTGCGTCGCAAACCCCGCACCGTCGCACACACCCTCGATGATGCCCGCGACGAACGCGGCACAATTGAGCGAGCTCATCTCGCGCGGAACGCTCACATAGCTATTGACGAGGGGCTCGTTGTCCGTGACCATGTACTCTTGAGCGGAGGCGGCAGACCGCTCGAGCGCGTCGGCGGGGCGCCCAAAAAGGTGTCGCCAGAGCGTCGTAGTTATGAACTGGAGGAGGGGTAGTATGCGCGTAGGTCGGGGGCCGGAGGCGGAGAGCGATGAGGAGGAGCTGGACGAGGAGGAGGCGGTGCGGTACAGGAGTAAGTCAAGCAGCCTAAGGCCTATGGGGTAGCCCTGGGCGTTGAGGCTGTTAGGATGTACGCGCAGCTGGTTAGCTCTGGTCTGTTGTTGCGAAGTAACCGCTGAACCTAAATCTGAGTCTCTCAAACTACGCCTGGAATAAGTAGACACTGTACGCACCGCTTCTCCAGATCCGCAATACCTGTCACCCGCCGCTGTGCGTATCCAATCATCTCCACGAACAAGTATGCGAAAGACGCCCGGCTCAGCTCCGCGCCCTTGCTCCGACTCAGATGCCGGTCATAGATGCTTTTGCGATTCGACGGGTACCGCAGCCCGGGTGTCGACATCCGCTGCGGCGGCTGTTGCTGCTGCTGCTGCTGCTGTGACGACGCAGCCGCTGCATTCTGCTGCTGCTGAAGGTGGTACTGCTGGTACTGGGCATTTTGGAGCGCTAGTTTTGCGGATACGGAGGCGGACATAGTAGCGCGGGGAGGAGAAGAAGCATGCGAGCACGGAGAGGATTAGAGAAAATAGCGCAACCAAAGTCTAGGTTTGAAGGCGGCGCAATTAACTTTGCGGAAGCTTCGCAGGTTTGACGATCAATGAACGTTTTGATATGCGGTTGGTGGTTGATATTAGCGACGTTTTGGGGTGCTGCAGGCTGCCGTAGCCCGACGCCCGAACCTACATATACTGTACTTCGTTCTCGCCTTCAACCTCTAGCTAAGCCAGTCATATGACGTTTTTCTCTTCCCCCATGCTGCCAAATGTAATTTATTTACAAGTAGACGAGCTGGCTATAAGACTCCAATTTTTGGACTCATTTTTTTCTTAAACATTTTGCGGTTGTCGTATCATAGATGCCTAGGGGTTCTTAGAGCCGTCGGGTCATCTGACTAACCTAAATAGGAAATCGTAGCAAGCAGTTCGTAAAATTCAACGTGGGCGGAGATCCAAGGCACCTCCGAGGATTGAAACGACAGAAAAGATGATTTGATAACCAAGTCGGCGTATTTCTAAGCCGCTATGGGCCATCTTTCTAGATATATACGTCATCGTCGTAGCAAATAAAAACAGAGCCGGAGGGCACGTAGCAACCTGGTACGGTGGCCTTGCCACTAAGAATGGGCTGTTTGTAATGCTGGCAAGTAGGGGTAGTCCATAGGTGTTTGAATA